GCTGGTATCAAAGTAAACGGTGTTTGTACCAACAACTTAAGATATGCTGACAATACAGTTCTGCTTGCCAGTAAGCATGAAGACCTTCAGCTCCTCATCAACAGAGTCACAGAAATATCTGAAAAATACGGTTTGAAGCTTAACACCTCAAAAAGCAAGATCATGGTCGTCAGCAAACAACCCGTTAATTTACCACCAACAAATTCAGAATGAATACCACTAGAAAAAGTTGAAAGGATCATGCACCTCGGTTCTAATTTGCATGAAAGCTGGGACATGACCGTTGAAGTAAAGACAAGGATAGAAAAAGCCCGAACAGCATTCTTCAAAATGAAAAAGGTCTTCTGCAGTCACAACATAAGCCTAAGACTGAAAATCAGGCTTGTCAGTTGCTATATTTTTTCTATCCTGCTCTATGGAGTAGAGAGTTGGTCTCTGACAGAAGGCCACCTGAAGAGACTAGAAGCATTTGAAATGTGGATTTACAGGTGGCTGTTACATATAAGCTGGGTTGACAAAATCAGAAATGAGGAGATGATAAGCCGCCTGGGAAAGCCAAGGGAAATCATCAAAACAATTAAAAAACGAAAATTAGAATATTTCGGACATGTGATGCGACATCCAGAAAAATACTTCATACTCCATTTAATCCTCCAGGGAAAGATTGAAGGCAAATGAGGTCCAGGCAGAAGAAGAACATTGTGGCTTCAAAATCTAAGGGACTGGTTTGGACAAAACTCAGCAGCACTTTTTCGTGCGGCTGCTGATAAAAACAGGATCGCCAACATCCGATAACGGATATGGCACAAGAAGAAGAAGAAAAGGTTTAATGAAGAAAAGGACGAAGGGTGACATGATAGCAGTGTTCCAATATCTCAGGGGTTGCCACAAAGAAGAGGGAGTCAAGCTATTCTCCAAAGCACCTGAAGGCAAGACAAGAAGCAATGGATGGAAACTAACCAAAGAGAGAAGCAACCTAGAACTAAGGAGAAATTTCCTGACAGTTAGAACAATTAATCAGTGGAACAACCTGCCTCCAGAAGCTGTGAATGCTCCAACATTGAGTTTTTAAGAAGAGACTGGACAGTCATTTGTCTGAAATGGTATAGGGTTTCCTGCCTGAGCAGGGGGTTGGACTAGATGACTTCCAAGGTCCCTTCCAACATTATTATTATCATTATCATTATCATTATCATTATTATTATTATTATTATTATTATTATTATTATTATTATTATTATCATCATCATCATCATCATCATCATCATCATCATTATCATCATCATCATCATCATCATCATCATCATCATTATGTTGTGGAATTGGCAATTACCAGAAGATCTCTTAGCCGGGCTATGGCTAAAAACATAGATTCCAAATTACATATCTTCAATAAAGACAAAGCTTTCCATTCCACACATGGGTAATGCTTCTTGATGAACCATAGCCTCATGTCCTATTGAATATACATTGAACAGCTACTAACATTGCAGTGGGCAAGCATAACTGGGATTTCTGGTTTATCATGAACAAGCAGGTATGCTGGTACGTGCTGCTTGATCACCCCTACTTGGCTGTTCTTATGATTGGGAAGAAGGCCTGAGCTAAAAATATCACTAAGACTTTTTCCATCAGAAGTGGACTCCAGGGATGCTTTTCTTTTAGCAAGCCAAGATCATAAATCACTGCTCTTGGCTTATAAACCTGGCTTGCCTAATAATAATATTAGGTTAATATTGTTGTAATGTATTAATCAGTATTCAGCTAGGGAGGATAATATGTGTGTATGTGTTAATTTTTTTAATGCAGTTTTTTATTGTCTTGGTTTTTTTGTAGGTTTTGGGGAGCTTTTTTTTCTTTTGAAAGAAAAAAATGAAGTTTTGTGTTTGTATTTTGTATTTTAACTTTTTTTTAATACAATAAAAATAGAATAAAAAATTCTGGTTTGCCAGAAGAGATACAAATTAGAGATTTGATTTAGAAGAATACTAAACAAAGAAAAGAGGAATCTTGCTTCCTTCTTCCTGATAAGTAACATTTTTTCAGGAATCTGGCTTCCTTTGGGCTGGATCATTGAATAGAAATCAAATGTTCTTTGTTGTCCAGTGACTACCAGTTACACACAGAGATATTTTTTCTTAAAATACCCAATTGGACCTTGTGTTAAGCAGATTCTCAAATGCTTTCAGAGAAACTAAATATGAATTTCTTGTAAATCCTTTATTGTAGGCAAGCAATGGAGCAGCAACAGCAGCAACGCCAAGAATCTCTGGAAAGAAGAACCTCTACCACAGGTATGTATCATGCTTTTGGAAGTCAAGCAAGACTACTTTTTCCCCCTGGTTTTTCCCTATTAACTTCTGGCTGTTCCTTGTGCTTTTATTGAAAATGTTTGGCTTCTCGTCTGTTGCTATAATTATTCTGTGGTTTCAGTTACTAAAGTTTATTCATAATGCATACGGGGATGTTTTTGCATTGAAATGCAATGCAGTATGTAGTGGGTTTTTTTTTTTATTCTTTCTAAATTTCTTTAGGGTGTTTTTACTGATAGCAATTTAATAATTTTTGCTTGAAATTACCCCCAGTGAAAATAAAAAGCTCATAATGATTACATTCCCACATTCTAGCATATCTTTATTAGCATAGAAACATGGCACAAATAACAAGAGAGGGTTCATTTTCTACTCCCAAGATTCTTAATTTTGTATGTCTGAAAATATTCTTAATTTTATATAGTGTTATTGTGATTGTTCTTTTGTCATTCTCACAAAACAACAGGTTATTCTAAATGGTAATTTAGTTTTTCTATGACTGTACCAGTTTGCTGCTTCCCACATTGTCCATGCTTCCATAAATATATAATTTGGGAGATCTTACGGGAAGAATGGAAGTGCATTCACTCTCTATAGAGATGCCCCTTCAACTTGGGAGCTGACTGAGATTAGTCAGCTATACATTATAGCTCACTTACTTGGTTTCCGCAATAGATTTGTTATTGAAGTATGTGGGACATAACTGTATAGATGTGGCAACTACATCGATATAGTAGCCCAAAAACTGAACAATATGCAAAAAAACTTTAACTTGATGCAACATGGTTTGTAGTATGCCTAATAATAATTGTGAATTACTGTTTCTCTGAACAGAAGGGATATCATTTGTAGATAAGAAATAATCCAATAGGGGCGTAGAATTCCATCACTGAGAACTTAGGGGCATCCCAGGTTGGTCTTCCCCATATGGTATCAGATATGTTGGAAACAGCAGCCAGAATTTCCAGCCAATTTCCAGCTGATAAATAGCAGCAGGGAATTTTTGGAGCTGGAGCGGAGAAGAGTATGATACATAAATTAATTATCACTTTGGCCCAATCAACTTCATCGGGTACTTTAGCAATACTATTGCAAAACAGATGTAGATGTAATTAATCTTGGGAAAAGATCATATGGATCACCCTGTAAATTGAACGAAGAGGGATACAAGTGCAATATAAGGAAGGAAGCACAATATAAAGAAGAGGGATGTAAATACAATAAATAAAAACAAGTTTGGCAAATAAGAGTATATATTAGATGAATAGGGTCTTGAAAATGGGTCTTCAATAAAATTGATTGTAAATTTAAAAGTTTGCTAATCACAAGGCAGTTCAGTGCTATGCCTTCTGTTAGCTCTAAACTAAAAAAATTAGCAGCTTTTCTGGCTTCCTCTGAATAACCATGAAACCTGTATCTTCACTAATCTTTTTAAACTATTAAGCATTGGGTTCATTTTGATTTATTTTTTGTTTCATTCCCTTTCCCCCCTGTCTTCTAACCATGATGCTATCTGTCATTCCTCAGTACCAACCCATATTATTCTTTTTCCTTTTTCTGTTCTTTATAGTCTCCACCATTCAGATTAAAGTGTCTTCTTCCCCTTTTCACTGCCAGTCTCCTCCTCCTGACTACAGTAACTACAATGCTTCTACTTCCACTGGTGCGGTTGTTCCTCCTCCTCCTCCTTATGCCAAAGCAATCTCATCACCATCTGCTCTCCCAGAACCTGCTAGCAAGGCCTCTTTCAGATCTGCTCATAGAGTCCGGGAATCCCCTCTGCATTGCCACCAATATTCTCCCTCTGAGTTCCCACAATCTCCTGGCCCTTCCTTTCCACCAACTTGGCCAGGTTACAGAACTGTTGCACGAAGCACCAAGGAAATCTCTTTATCTCCACCTCTTGCCTCTGCTTCCCCTCATCAGTCCATAAGATGTTCTTCCCTGTCATATTCTCCTCAAGCTGCTTCTTCTCCTGTGACCTTTACATCCCCTATACAGAAGGGGCTGATCCTGCAGCCCCATATTCCAGTAGTTCTTCCTGTGATTGCTGCCCAGAATGGCAGACTCCAGGGGCCTACAGGTGAAGTGGTCCAAGATGCCTCAGCAAATGTACCTCAGTCAGGTCTGAATGGCCGACATGAAGATTGTTTAGTTACACAAATTCCTCTACGCTCCCCTAGGACACAGCCAAAGAGAAAAGATCAATCTTTTTTCTCCTATTTAGAAGCAGTGCCCATTTCACATTTACCTGTTGTGACCAGCCCACCTGGGTCCTTTATCCAGGCTTTTTCTTGGCCCTCCCAACAGTTGCCTCATTCTCCACACCAGTTCTATCCATCTATGTCACACTTTGTTTCATTACATCCTCATTATGCTGCTTTATCTGAGATGAATTTGTCCAGGAGGACTCCTTCTTACATGACTTCATCTACCTTTTCCCACATGAGTAAGTACTTGACTTGGAAATATGTAGATGCATTTCCTTTTTTAAAATATATGTTTTAAAAATATATATTTATATAGCAAAACACATAAGTAGTCTTTGATGGTTATAAAGTCCCGTTTTCCATTCCATCTTTTAGTACTCCTTTAGGTGCTTATGATGAATTCAGGATATACACTACCATCCAGAGAATGCCATAACTGATGTAATATTGAAATCATGATTAATTTAGGGCAATCTTTTGTACACTTCACAGATTCTAAGTTTAGTAATGGCCGTGCTATATGAGCAGTTAAAACTGGCGTATGTGGAATTTGTCAGGGTTGGGACATTACTGGTTTAGTGTCCTAATGCCTATTAATGATCAAAGTGTTTTCAGTGAAGGAGCATTGAAGACAGAATCTAGGAAGTAACTTTAGTTAAGATGTCATAAAGGTAGATATGCAATTTGTAGCTGAATAATCTGACAAGATTATATTTGTATAATATATATTTGTGTCTGTATGTATAATGTGTTGTATAACAGTGATTGCATGATCTCTGTAGATGCCATACACTAAATAAAATAAAATCTGACAAGATTGTTAGTGAAGTCATACAAGCAAGCCATCTGGACACTTTAAAGCAGAGGAACCAATCTTTTAGTAGCAAAGAGATGCACTTTTTTTTTTTAAACTGGGGCAACGGCAGGTATAACAAAGAGGGGAGAGTTGGTCACAAACATGAGCAGAAATATTCCTTTCCCCCGAATGTTTTTAGAAGGTGTAGGAATGTTTCTGTATTTAATTCCAAGCTTATTTGATGTCATACATTATTATGTGTTTCTAGCTTCAGAATTATAGGAATTATTGCTACAGTTGTTTGGCAAATGTATTATTGTAATTCAGTGACCCAATTGGGACCATTTCCGGGCTTCCCTAAAAGATTTCCATGTGCCATATGCAAGCCTTGTGTTGTAAGTTACTCATGCTTGCACTGAAAAAAGATCAGATCTGTCACAAACCCCAGATCCAATCCTGTACACATTTTTGATGTGGTCCTGCTCACTTTATAAGCTGCCAGCAAAATGTTATATGCAGCTGCTTCTGGCCACTAGAAGGTTCCCCAACCTGATAAAAATTGCTACTCACATTATAGACAATCTTTACTGAAACTGGAATGGACACTTTGTAGTATAGCATTGAAAGACAAATCTAGTATTTGGTTTTCTGAGAATAGAAAAGCAATTATGAGGTAGTTTCTTGTAGTTTTAATTGACAACTCAATACAGAACTGTTAACTCCCATTTTATGAGAGTCTTGGATGGGAAAGTGAAGAATACTTTACAAATTCAAATGTTGCCATAGCCTTGAATTTAGAAATAGTTTCCAAAACGTAGAAGCAAGAAGAAATTCTAATCAAATGAAAGTACAGGTAATTCACTTGGGGAAAATATGTTTATGCAGAATGGAGAATTGGTTGATTACCAAAATAGATAATTCTTACTCAAAAGAATAATTTCTTTTTTTAAAAAAAACTGCTGGAAATGCAATAATCAGAATGGATATTTTTTCATACATTAAGGTAATGTCATAAAACTCAAGAGCTCAACATGGAATGGAACATGTTTTAAATACTTACTTTTCTTTCTTGCCAGCTGTTCTTCTGTTAAGCATTACTAAGCCTTATATTATTGCAAAATATACTGAGCATGTGATAACATTTTTATGATGCTTATTGGAAATTACTAATTTCTTTTTTAGAAGAACAGTGGCTATGGAAGTATGCTGATTAAAGCCTGATACTGAATTCAGTTTAACCTTAAAAATATTTATAAAATATAATTCTGCACATGGATTAATACCACTTCTGAAGATTGGGGGTATAAGGTTTTAGTATAAGTTTTTAATATACTAGATTTTGTACAATTCATTATAATAAGGACAGACTTCTGAAATAAGATAGAAACTTAATTCTTTCTTAACTTGATAATTATTTATTTTGGGTGCTAATTAGTGATTATTGGCTTGGTTGTAATAATGGTTTTAAAGGGCTAAGTTAATGTAAGGCCACTTTTATATAAAGCACTAAAGTTAGATTACTTTGAAAAAAGACAAAAAGAAAGAGTGGTGACAATGGTATAACATCTAATACCCGAAAATACTTATTCAAAATACAAGGAAAGTGTCAAGCGCCGGGGAAATCAGGAGATTCAGGCAGTTCAAATGAATATAAAGATTTATTGCAAGCGTAAGCTCTCTACAAGAATCTGACCAACTAATGGTCCAAAGAAATGAGACAAGAGTAGTATTCAAGGTGGGCTGAACTTAGACCTCTTGTGGGTGCGGAGTGACTTATAACACATTTGATCCCTCCCTCAGGCTCAGTCTGGTCATCTCCTATAATTATCAAAAGATAAAAAGCAGGTCATAGTCTACTTATTAGCCTAATTATGAGAAATGCTTACTCTGAGCATGGGTGTCAAACTCGCCGCGTCATGTGATGTGTTGCGACATATCATGACTTTTTTTGCATTGCCAGAGCTGAGGTGGGCGCGGTCTCCTTATGATGCAACCGGCCTGTCGGCCAGCAGTTTGACACTCCTGCTCTAGAGAGAGAAGGACTTGCAGTGAATCTATTAGAGTGGCTATTCCTCAATATTTCTATTAACTTGCCTGTTTATATGTTTGTGTTCTAAAATTGCTAACTTTAAAAGGGGAGGTATCACATACTTTATCACCTGGAAAAGATTTTAATCTGGGAACAGGAAGAGCAAGCTCTTATATAAATTGGAAATCATGCAGATTGTATCTAATATAATAGAATAAAATTTTATATATAGATGAGAAGATCCTGGTTGGATCAGATCAGGGGTATACTTATCTAATATCTTGCTTCTATGTTGTTTTTAGAAGCTCATGGTGAAACAGTGGTGAGATTCCAAGAAAACTGGTTCTGTCTCTAGAAAATATGTTGAACCTACTTTATTGGGGGGGGGGGGGAATTAGGAACATTATGCAAATTTTTCTTCTCTCCATTATTTTGTTGTGGATAATTTAGCCAATATAAAATATGAAGAATCTGAAAAACAATTTGCCTGAAAGAACAGCAGTCTAAAACTTTTGAATGAACATTCCTTTATGATTAATCAAATTAATCTTTAAGCAAGGGTTACTGGTTTATGAAAAAATCGTTGATTAAGACTGGGAAAGAAGTGTACATGTTTGGTGATACACCTTAGCAATATTGTTACACTTGAGGTATGATTGGACTGCTCAGATATGATTGGTATGCTTTGTTCTCCTTATCTAGGTAATAAAATACTAGTTTATATGAAGGACCACTGCAATTATCACTGATGCTGCTCTGCTTTGGCACTGTGACCTTTACAGGACCAACATATTTGAGAGAGGGGGTTCTTTTGAAATCTATACTATATAAGAAATTTGATGGCAATGGATTTAATCTGGTTTTAGAAAAAATAATTCTATATTTACTTAAATGTAAACTGCTAAAATATATCGGAAACTGGAAAATGTAATTTATTCTAACATTGAGCTTTGAGCTTTGCTGCTATACTGAATTATTCCATAATCTTTGTTTAAAACAGTAACATGTCAATATCATATTCCTGGATAACAAATAATTGGGATCAGCACCAATAATTTTGTGAGTCATCTGTTAAAACCACCTGTCAACATAAGAACTGTATAGAACCTCTTTGCCTTTGTAAACATGTATTCAATTAAGATTTAATTGTATTTAGTCAAGCTTTTCTTTTTGGAGGGATTATGTGGTTTCCAAAAGAATAACAGAATTAGAAACACAATTTGGAAACATTTAAAAGAGTTCTTAAAAATATCACCTGAATTGAGTTATGCTACTGTTGACAGCTGTACTCCAGAATGGAGCTTCATATAAGGTTTGAGATGAGATTTTTGGATTAAAAGCTTGCATTGCTGGGGGAGAGTTCTCCCCACCACCTTGAATAAGAATGTTGAAGCAAAGCCATCATTGTAGCTTTTGCTTTCAAGAATAACATCTTATAGTGAAATCCCCAGAACAGAACCTGACTGAAAATAATGCACATATACTATAGCTATAATTCTTAACTTGAATTATCGTATGATCTTGAATCCCCCTTTTTCCTCTCATGTTCAGTTTAACTACTGCAAGGTATTTAGGTTTTACTGGATATTATCATGTAAACTGATGCATTATTTTTTATTTATTACACATTGCTATTTTTTTATAAAATGCTGAGATATATCCCCTTCCTGGTGTAAGCATTCCTCAGCCTAAAATAAGGCATCAAACTAGAGACTACATATGGTGGAGAGAGATGCCATTTGGTTCTTACAGGCAAGAGGGAAGACCCACGTTATTTCCCAACAAGCCCTATGGTTTGTGTCACAGAGATAAAATCACCTGAGAGATTCTGAGGATCCTAGAAACTAGGATGTCTCCTAGTTGTCTCTTATGGCTTTCATTTTGGCTGCTATTACTGGCCCAAGCAACTGTCAGCAAAGGAAGCAAACAAGACAATATATTCCAGTTCCTGAATGACGGTTCTTTGTTTCAGGTCCTGCGTTACCACCAGGTCACCCCTCTGTTGCCACTGGAATACCCACATCATCTGGTGGACCACCCCCTCCCCCTCCCCCTCCTCCTCCACCTACGGGAACCGCACCTCCTCCTCCTCCCCCATTGCCAGCAGGTGGTGGAGGATCTAGCATTGATGATGGATCAATGTCAGGACTAGCAGCAGCTCTGGCTGGTGCCAAACTAAGAAGAGTGCAACGGGTAAGGCTCTTGACTGTGATAGAAGCATTATGAGCTTAAAATTGGGATCTTGAAATTCTAACATATAAAAAAGTAAGAATGGATGTCTTTGATGTTTAGATTTTTCTGAACAGTTAAATTCTTAATGCTTGTGGACTCTAAATTGTTGGTTTCTCTCTTAAAAGCCAGAGGATGGATCTGGAGGTTCTAGTCCCAGTGGTGCTTCCAAGAGTGATGTCAATCGAACAAGTAGTGGAGGAGGTGGGCTTATGGAGGAAATGAATAAACTATTAGCAAAAAGGTTAGTGATTGTGATCGTGATGAGCACTACCTCTTTTTTCGTACCCACAATTTCAAAAAGACTAGAAGGGTGGGAAGGAATTGGTCCACTGCAGGCTAAATCACCCAGAGAAATTACACTTGATCTAAAATTAACCAAATTTTCAAAGCAAAATACCATATCTCTAATTATGCCCATCAGTATTGTTTCAGGCAGAAGATGAAGATTTTATTTGAGCTATTTGCTAGTCAATGTGAGTTCTTCATTATATATGTCCACTGGTATATGACTAAATGTTTAACCACCTGTTCTGACAGCCACATTGCTACCCTCATGCCATGCTGCTAGACACAAAACAGCTGATTGACACATAGATTTGAGGCTCAACTCTGCTCTCAACTAACTCACAAAAGTATTTTAAAAAAAACCAATTGGCTCTCACAAGCCAAATTGAGCCAGCTCCAGCACACTACTGAATATATCCCTTTGCTATTTGTACAGATAATTCCAACTACGTTGGAAGGAATTAACATATCTGAATTTGCAGGTTGTGAATATATTTCTAAGGAATTGATTTATAGCCTTTTTCACTCTGTCCTAAGGAGAAAAGCAGCATCCCAGTCAGATAAGCCAGTGGACAAAAAAGAAGAGGAAAGCCAAAATGTAAGTGGAGTACTTCTGACTCTGTGGCATTTGAATCACAGAAGTCATTTGTATGTCTATCAGAACTTGTGAAGAGTACCCTTTATCTGCTCTTATATATGATTTAATATTGAAACATTTGATCTGCCTCATCAGGTAATTGAAAAATGCTTTAGACATCTCTGTCAGTTCCACTGTTGTCTTTCATGGGGAAACAGTACCCCTTGTTAGTATCTCTGTGAGCCCAAGCCCTAGACCAGGGGTAGGCAACCGTGGCTCTTTTATAACTCGTGGACTTCAACTCCCAGAATTCCTGAGCTGGCTCAGGAATTCTGGGAGTTGAAGTCCACAAGTCATAAAAGAGCCAAGGTTGCCTACCCCTGCCCTTGATGCATCACTACTGTTGGATGAACAGATGGAGGTTTTCTGCCTGGGTTCTACTGGGGTATCTGTTGTTATCCTACCTGGAGAGTGAGGGTTTCTCAACAATAATACCTTCATCGTTATTCATACTGTAGAATGATCAACATAAGGCTTCTGTTGAAGATATTCGGAACCTGCAATTCTTATATAATGCAGTGGCCTGCTTTTGGGACAGTGTTAATCACCAAGAACATATAGTAGTACATCTATGTTGCAGGGTCTGTACTGGTTCCCTTTGAGTTTCCAGAGCAGTTTGTATGCTGCTTTGTATGACTTGTCACAAAATACTTGCCAGACTGTCTTCTCCAACTGAATCAACCTGTCCATTATGATTACTCCATAGAAAACTTCAGGTAATTTATCATTTTCATGAGGGGACCAAGACAAGGAAGCTAGTTTCTGCAGGATATTATGGACTAACTAGTCTGTTCGTAGAAACTAGACTAGTCACATTGCTGATCTCGTGATAAGAACTAAAGATGGAGCTAGAAAGCGTTGGTGGTTAACACTGTCTCCTGTCATGATATCTTTTCATTATTGTAATCATGGATAGTTTAATTTAATTGCTTAAATATTAGTTTATTGTGGACATTTCATTTGTTATATTATTAACCACTAGGGGAGGAGAGGGGAGGGGGGAAGGAAGGAATGTCGCACTTGTGTATCATCTCTGGTGAGAGCAGGATGGGAGTAGTGCAATCATCCTTGCTCTCCTTGACTTCTCAGCAGCCTTCAATACTATCGACCCTGGTATCTTTTTGGACCGGCTATGGGGTCTGGGACTGGGCAGCACAGTCTTGTACTGGTTTGGCTCCTTTCTCCAAGGCCAGTCCCAATCAGTGTTAATAGGCATGCCACAGGGCTTGGTATTCTCTCCACTCCTTTTTAACATCTACGTCAAGTTCCTGGGTGAGATCATCTGTCAACATGGGTTGAGATACAGTCATATGTTGACAATACTGAACTTTATATCTCCACCCCTAGTGATCCAAGTGATGCTGTCACTACCCTCTCATAGGCCTGGAGGGGGGATAATAGACTTTGGCTGAACCCTGGGAAAACTGAGTGGCTTTGGTTGCATGGAGCTTCAAGATCCAGGACTTCAACATCTTTAGTTCTGGATGTGGATACACTACCCCAGGCAGACTCAGTCTGCAACTTGGGGGTTCTCCTGGACTTGCCATTCCTACTCAAAGAGCAGGTGGCAGTTGCAGCTGGGAGAGCTTTTGCACAGCTTTATGTTATGCACCAGTTGCAGCCTTTCCTGGGTCAGGAGTCCTTGTGCTCAGTCATTCAAGCCTTGGTTATCTCATGTCTGAACTATTGCAATGCAGTGTACATGGGGCTACTTTAAAGAGCATTTGGAAGCAACAACTGGTTCAGAATGCTGCAGCACATTCAGTTTTGGGGGGCCCTAGATTGGCCTATATTCCACTTCCTGCCAGTTTGCTTCCAGTTGCAATTCAAGGGGTTGGTTATCATCTTTAAATCCCTACATGGCATGGGTCCAGGCTACTTGAGGAACCACCTCACCCCAATGGGACTGACTCATCCCACCTGTGTTGGCAGAGGAGGCATGCTGTGGACCCTGTTGATAAGGGAATTATGGCTGGTGGGATCCAGGAAAAGAGCCTTTCTCTACTGTGGCTCTGTTCCTTTGGAACATCTTGCCCCCTGAAATGAGATTTGCTCCCACCCTCCTGATGATTTGCAAGTGTGTGTGTGTGTGTGTGTGTGTGTGTGTGTGTGTAGTTTTATTGCTTTTAATGTAAGCCGCCAACAATCGCCTCGCAGCAAGATGGGTAGCAAACAAATTTAATATATAGGGAGGGAGGGAGGAATACTTTGAGCACCAATATTAGATTTTTGCCAAATTATGTTTATGGGATGGTAGCTGTAGAAAAGCTGACAATAAATGGCTGAGTGAATAAATAGCTTTTCCTGGTTAAAGAGAACTTCCTTTGCCACATAATGCGATTCTGTTGCTATTGTCGGCTAGTAATATTATATAGCCATATGTATTCCAAACCGCAGTCACAATATTAAGATAACATTTTGCTTGCTTTTAGGAAGATGCTAGCACTTCTCCTACCCCTGTTACACGAGGCCCTGTCCAACAGCAGAATTCTTCAGGTATTCAACTCTTGTACTTGTACTCTTCCCTTTGACAGTATTTGTATTTGTGGTGAAATCTAAATTATGCAAAATGGATGTGAAGGAGATTCAGAAATCTTTAAAATGATCCCCATTCAATAATTAAAAGAGCATCAACTTCAGTAATTTGGTGCTTATATTCAGACATCTTGCTAAGCAGTGATGTAGTTGATTTGATTTTACCTTAAAGTATTGTGAGAATCAGTATTTGTGGTCAGCCTATTGTGGATTATTCAAGTAAGATTAAAATAGGTTCATAACTAGATTTGATTTGTGAGCTAGCAACAGTAATTCATGCCTGGTAGGGAAATTAACACATCATAAAACAAAAACTAAATATCCAACACATGTCAACATAAATATTTTTGAGCACACCTAGATGCTATTGCTTTCAAACTGAATATGCAAAACAACACAGGATTATATCTTAAGCACAGTAGATTACTTTCTTGCAGTGATATTGACCTAGCAAATTAGTTGCTGAGAAATGGTCAGAATATTATTCTTCATTTGAAGGTCTGCCTGATTTTTTAAAAGATATATTGAATGAAACCAGTTACAGTTAATGAAGATTTTAAATTTTCCAAACAGTTTGGATTCAAGATGTGTTTCTCTGCAGTACCTGCATACATGAACAGGAATAAGGACAGTCCACTTTCTTACAACCAACAGTGGCAATGTGGGAATTGCTATCCATGGTTGTGTCCCATATCAACCTAGATACGTGGAGAAGAAACCAGCCACATAAAAAGAATAGGACCATGAAAAAAAAATCAGGGCTAATATCAGAGGTCAGGTAAAAGAAATATCACTCTTATGGATCTTTCCATCTGATGCTATCTTTCCAACAGAATGGCTGGACTCATGAGTTATAGAGAATCTACATAGGTTTGGATATTACAAAGCAAGGTGAAACAAAGGAATATAATATGTATTATAAGCTATATAATTTTTATTTATACTTCACTTAGCAGTTTTTACTGTGTTGCTAAAAGTTCAAGAATTCATTTCCTCAGTATTAGCTGAAAGGATCCTTCCTTAGTGTTCTAGGTTTTTAATAAGAATTCCTGATTTGGCAGATGTATAACTGTTGTTGACCTGGATCTGTTTGTTTGGGTTTATTCCACCAGTACATCCGCTGCTATTAAAAACATATAAGGTAGTTTAGTATTTTTCTTATACAAATTATGTCTCCCCTCCCCGTACCTCTGCCCAAACTCTTTTTCCACAATCTAGGTCCTATAGCTTTCTGTTTATTTATCTGTTCTTTACCTAGATGCTGGCAAGAAGCTTTGGGAGAGAAGCAATTCCATGGAAAAACCGGTCACTTCATTACTCTCTAGGTTAGTTGCAGAACATCATGTATGGATCGCCTGCATGTAATTGGACCTGTGCATGATGCTTCTGGATGTGATCATATTGTATCCTCTCATTCCATTGCATAGAAACCCATCAGTGGGGAGAAGTCCTGAATCTAAAGGCCCTGTTCAGTTTCAGCCATCTTTTAGGTACTGAAAAACTGTCCTGACTTCTCTGTAGTGTTTTGGCTTATCTTCTCCCAAAACATGTAACTTTTCATCCAACAACTAACATGCTATATGCCTGTGTGACTTGCCGTCTTTATTTGTTTGTTTGCTTTCTGCTGCTTAACAAATTAGATGTCAGTGATGCTGACATAAGGATTAGGTAATTGAAATTAGTAATTGAAATCCATCATGGATTGCTTTTACATGGAAATACTGTGAATCGTGAGAATTGTGGGAAGAATTCAGTAGAACTCAGTGAGCAGAAGCCACACTTCTTTGTTGGAAAAATAATGTGTAGTTTGGGAAAAAAATGCATTATTTTTAGCATATTTTCTGACTTGTTTTGTTAAAAAAACATATTGTCCTAAAATTAAATAAAACATGTTACATAAAGCAATCTAACAGGAGGCCATAGCTATGAGATATAGAAAGTACATAAAGAAAATACATTGTGGAAAGATACAGTATACCCACAGCTCATTCCACTGCAGATACTGGTATATGGGGTATTACTTTAACATTAGAGAAAGTCAACATACTAAACATTATTTAATGTTGAATTATGCTTTTAACTTTTTTTCTCAATATTTTATGCAATGGTTATGGAAGGCCAAATTAAAATCAGGATGTCAATGATGATTGCTTTCATCCCTATGCACCCCTTCCAAAATGCAGCACACACAGTGAAAATTATATCCTGAAGCTTCAGGTTTGCACAAGATGAGACGCACTTAGTTGTAAACAGCTGTTTCTCTCACCCACCTAGTAACAGTATAATTAAGGAGACTATTAAATCCCCATTTCCGCATCAGGTATTTCCATGCCTGATCACACACTCACCTCAGTGACTATTCTGTAAAATTTAAAACAAGAATTGAGAAGCATCAAATTACATACCTCATATGAATATAATCAATACATTTAATAAATAAAAATATATAATATATATATATATAATGAAATTTAGTAGGTTCCTTCCCAAAACTAAATTACACCTTTAGATTTCAGCCAAGTCTGATTATAATTTTAGCATTATAACCATTTGGTTAGTCCAATTGTTGAGTCTGAAATATTTTGCTGGATGACCTTAGTTCAGTTCCCAGGATTTGCAGAAAAATATCATGCGAGTACATATATGTATGCTAGGAAAAAAATGTAAATTGTACAAAATTGTTTTATTGCCTTTTCTGCAATTGAAGAAAAATAAACTGCTAATAAAAATAAACTGTTAATAAATATTTTATTTCTGATCCATTGCATAGCCCTTATCGGTTGAATATTGACCAAAAAGATGGGATAAAATTATTTGGGTTTGAAGGACTATAAAAGATAGATATTTGCATGTAACCTTTTCTTACTGTCCAACTCCCTTAAATGCCAATAGTCCATTGATAGTGACTTTTCACTTGCAATTTTCCTGTAATTACTTTACCATGTAATTATTATTCAGCCTCCCATATCACATCAGATAAAAAGAGATCATATAAACTCCTTCTCGCTCCTGACTTATTGCTTGTGTTGACCACATGATGTCCTCATGGCTTAGGCTTTGGAATAAGTTATGACCAAATGGCTTGAGTAGCGGGGAGACATTATACAGAGATGATAGATTCTTTGGCACATTAATTTACATATATATTGGTAGTAGTGATACTGTTGCTGGCAGATGATGGTGATGTTAAAGATGATTTATAGGAAAAATAACGATAGGTTTCTACAATGAACAGAAATTTTTGAAAGGTTATCCAGTTGCTATCTTGGCAATGAAGCCATTGCAAACAGTATATAGTAAATAATTAACTGTAACAAGAGTTTATGAAGCAAAGTAGTCATGGAAACTATTTGAATTAGCATTACAGGTATAAAAAAAATCTTCAGACACACAAATGTAGTTTGGCTTGCTTTCTCTCTTCTCAGGGCATTTTCAAAGCTAAAATGATATTTCAGTGATTTACAGTGGGCAGAGTTTGAAGCTGCTTGTTTAGCAAAATCATCTAACTATTAAATGATATAGAAAGCATAATAGAATGTCAAACAATGAACTTTGGTTGAGCTCTGTGGTGAACTTCCATCTACTTTTATATACCATTTTATAAGGAATTACTAACATCACATCTCAATACTGTGGAACCCAGCATGGAATTGTCTCTTATTTTCTTTTATTCCATCTCAAGGATGAAGCCAGCGAGCAGTAGTAATGATGTGGCAATGGACACTTTAGATTTTGATCGTATGAAACAAGTGAGTTGGAATTGAGTACCTTGATGAATATTGATAGAGGAAATGTTTATTAATGGTGTTCAAGGAAAGCAACAATTTTGTTCAGTATTTCTGCTTGCTTAACTCAAAATTCAAGAATGGAACCTGGAGCTGTTCTACCACTAAGCTATGGTTCTTCAGAGGGCCATTGATTTATATAATTTGGACAGAATTGGCTATGAGATGTTTGTCTCACAAAGAAATGAATCATTTTCATGACCTGCGAAGGCACTAAAATGAGAAAAGTTGTGGATGTATGAATTTTTTTCTGATTTCCCCCAACCTAGTTAATAAATAAACCATCCCTAAGTGCCAAGATTCCATAAATAATTTACCTGATTTATACTTAACTCAGATCCTTGGAATATCTAGCTCTGTACTGATACCAGTTCTCCAGATTTCAGACAAAGAGAAAGCAGGAACTGAATCTGAATTTTTTTGCATGCAAAGTATTTACTAAGACCTGTGTCCCTCTGACCCTGCATTAAATTTTACAAAAAGAGAAAGGAGTAACAGGTGCCAGCAAATTCAAGATTGTCTTCTATTTTCTGTGTAGTGAATAAGACACATAGGTTTTCTTTATAAAACAGGTTTGTCTCAGCTGGCCCTTACTTTCAAATCCAAGAAATATTAATCGGTTTGTAGTGTCAGAACTGCTTTTGACATATGCATATAGATATTCATCCTGTGGGCATTCTGTGCCAAAATAAATCCATGTGAACTCGCTTCAGTTTGTTATTATGCAATCCAAGTAAGCCTAAACATTGCTTAACTTCAGTAAAACATCATTCTGAATAGCACATTTTAACTATCTTTTCGGTGCAAAAGTAGAAATTCAAATTACATTTGCGGGAATATTTGGGAAAATTTTATTTTTACCATTTTAAGAGACTTGGGCCTTTACAATGTTGAAGAGCATTTTTCAACTGCTTTCTGTTTTTCTTTCTGTAGGAAATATTGGAGGAAGTTGTAAAAGAGTTACACAAAGTAAAAGAAGAGATAATTGATGGTAAGAAGCTAGGAAGGGGTTCATTTCTTACATTGGCCTGGGCTAAGGGATCAAGATGGAGTCCTTTTTCTGTCTTATAAATGTTAATTTGATTAAACAATGTTCATCAACAAGGACAAGCACGAATGCTTAATCCACCACACCCTTTCTCAATAAGCTGCATTCCAGATGTTAGGGCAGTTGTATATCTTATCCCAGCAAGCAGATTAAGAAGCTTTAACTCTGGTGTATGTGGGAAATGTCAAGAGATTGTCCACCCTGTCAAGATTATATTAATTTAACTGCCATGACTGTCTGGCTACCCTCTTTCCATTGTCCACTTTTAGGAAAGTGTAGATAGGAGAATCTTCTATCTTCGATTTTAATTTATCTCTAGAAAGACTGGGAGATTTATCAATTAGTTTTAAGACTCAGATTCCCAGAGAAATCAGGTAGAAAATACTTGAAGCAATGGGTTTTTTTTCATCTCGATCTGAAATCTTTTATGATTTACACACCCAATAAACATAGCTTTCACAATACATGGAAATCCGGAAATCAGAAAACACAGAATGAAAGATTGCCTTTCAACTTGTCAACTGAACTCAAGATTTGTCATAAAGGGAAGTAAAATATACATTCTGCCATATTATAATTCAAACCTGTTCAAGCTCAACTCCTGGTGACTACATGAGCATGTAGTTTTCTGTAGCAACAGTTCAAACATGGTTTGACTTCCAATGCTTTTTTAGGTTCTTGATGGTCTCCAGATAAGCCAGATCTAGTCAAGCTTAGCTTTTGAAATCAGCCAAGGGTTAATTAGGTGCAACCATTTGTTACAGCTTATATAATTGCTTTTTAGAACTTAGGGAGCTATAAAAGCATAAGCCAGAATGGGATGTTACAGGGTTGAAGAATTGCCCTGTGTGGTTTTGATAAAATATGAAGGAGGCAATTCTTACTAAAAAAAATGGTTTGGAAGCAAATATGCTGTCATTATGTTTTAAGATGCCAGAATACAGGCCAGGCTTTCTACTCAACTGGCATATAAGCTGATGCCTTTCCTAATGTGGAAGAAGGGTGCCTTGTCTCACATACTACCTACTCTGCATTGCTACAATAAGAAAATACACCAGAGTATTTACCTATTTGATATCTTAATCGAAACCCGAATGTTTGAAGCCATAAAGTTCATCATGTATAATAGAAAACAAGAGAGGAAACTCCAGGCCACTGTGATACTTGTGTCCTTTGAATTTTACCAGGAGCTAACCTACTTATCCTTATTTTCTCAGTGCTGCTTCTGTATTTGCTGTTTCAACCAATTCTTATGAAATATTTGATGGACTCTAGGTGTGAGATTGTGGTTGCCTTCTCCTTTGTCATAAGCCTTGGCTTACATCTTATTTGTTTCTTGTTGTTTTTCAGCCATCAGGCAGGAATTGAGTCGAATCAGCACAACATAATGGCCATGAGACCATCTGGAAATTGCAAGGGACATGACGAGTGATGGTTCATTTCTAAGTGTACCAAGATCATGCAGAATGGTGAAAGAGGACACCTGACAGCATCTTTTGTTTTTAAAATCCTTTTTATTAGCAGACTCAGCAGACTTTGAAGCTTGCTACTGCCTTGGATTTGCTTCATTTAAAAAAGAAAGAATAAAGTCTTAAAATCTTTGAAATGGAAAATATTAAAAATTTATCTGGATTTTTAAAATTCATCTGATAATGCACATCAGATTTGGTCAGCCTTTTTGTATTTTGTATTTGCTTATTTAAATGTATGACATTTTTGTTTTTAGTATATTGTAGGTAAGGAAACATGTGATCCATTTGCTTTTATTAGATGACTTCAAAATAATTTTACTGGTAGTCTGCAGTGTAAATGAAAACATTTTTGCCAACAGAATCTAATTAATGGCATCAGTAGTTGAGGCCAGAAGACGCCAGCTGTCAGCCAGGAAGTTCCTGGTCTCAAAGCTATCACAATATTAAAGCGGTACATCGGTGCATCACAGCATCTGTGCTCATACTGGTAATAAATTGTTCATTGTCTATATGGCATTGATTGGCTTTTCTTTCAGTTCATTCTTGCAATAGATTTGGGCTCATAATATATACTTTTCTACTTATTAACAACAGGGATGGCCAGCTTGGCAATTTTGAGCAGCTATGGCATTCCAAAGGAAATGGCTATGACTATGTTTACATATTGAATGAAGCCATGGTTTATTGAGTTGTCCAAATTCACACAAAATGTTATACCAAATTAAGGAAACTTTATTATGGTTTCCATATTGTGTAAACCAGGTCTTTATCGGACCTCTGGTGGTGCTACCAGAAATACAGTTAGAGAAATAGAAAATTCACGTTTTCATGTTTACATCTCTTGGCTATTATATGAAATATATCAATTTTCAAAATTGATGGCTTCAGATCACTGGACCTAGACTGGAGAATAGAACAACTCCAAAGACAAATTGTCTTTCATCATTTTTAAGCATGTCTTCTGTATATAGTGGTTATATTCAGAATTACTAGTATTCTTCTCCCAAAATTTGCACTGAATAGATCTCCCCGTAACACATCATCCAATATTTTGTCATAAATACTGTGTGATAAATTAATAGCAAACTATTTTACTTTGCTTAGGCTTGAAATGTATGTTGGCTTGAGCAAACCACTAGAGATATGTGGAACCCACATGAAAAATTTTGCTAGTATCATTGAAACTGTTTTCTCTTGAAACTATATGGAAGTTTCTCCTGAGCAGGACCCTCAAAAGTTTCCTCAGACTTTCAATTTATGGGAAAGTCAGTGACCAAGCCTAACATTTGTGTCCTGAATATATGATTTCTTTACCTGTCTTGGACTATAAAATATCCATTGCTGATTAGAAAGAAGTAATAATACTGTGCATCTCATGTTGTTTAATAACGTACAACATGGGGGTGAGGAGGGGGGTACTTGATAAGAATAAGTGGGGCACTGGCTAGGTTTTTTTTATAAAGTTTTTGTTTCCTTTGAAAAAAATGGTTTTTTAAAATGTGGAAGCACCTCCAATTTCACACTTCAGGAGCTATGTGACTGCTGGGGTTGTATTTTTTGTTTGTTTGTTTGGGGGGGGTGAGTTGTCATATCAAGAGTATATAATATAAATTTCAGAATAATGAACCATGCATCTGAGGAAGCAGACTGTAGTCCATGAAAGCTTATGTGATAATAAATACATTCATCTTTAAGGTACCACAGATTTTGTTGATTTTTTGCTGCAATAGAATAACATGCTTAACACCTCTGGAAACTAATAACATTTGTAGTAGCCTAAAAAGAAAGGAAAAAAGGAGAATCGGGTAGATAAAAATAATTTGCCTTATAAATTAGTCTGCCATTTTTCCATCCAAACCAATATCATTCACCCTGCTTGGAACATTTTATCAGAGGTCTTTCCAGTATTAACTACTGGCCTTTATGTAATTAGGAATACCAAGCACTGAAGCACGCAGACTATATTCATTGCTATCAGGCTGTGTTATCTCCAAATTGCACATAACTGTATTAAGAATATACTTGTTGCATTCAATTTTAGGCTATAATCCTAAACCTATTTACCTTGATGATTGTATTAATTTCTATTGAGATTACTTCTAAGTAGGTACATATGGGCTTTTTCTTTAAATAACTTAAAGCCATAAACAGAGATGCCACCTATTCAATGACTTTAAATATACACTGCTGGGTACTTTGTAACTGCTTATAGCAGTGTGGAGGTCTGATTTAATTATTGCAGCTAATGTGCATTGGCAAACCTCTCTGTCTAGATCAAGGATGGAGAACAATGGCCCTTTTATGACTTGTGGACTTCAACTCCCAGAATTCCTGAGCCAGTCTTTATAGCTCTCAGAACCATTGCCCATCACAACAGTATGAGATGAGGAATTCCCACATATTTGCATATTACTTAAAAGTTAATTACACAGAGATCTTCCATCTTCCCCTACTTGCAAAATTCCCTATCTATCTACAGAGACGGAGAGAGGTCTATTTTATGCAATAGCAGACTTCCTAGCCATATACTTTAACTATACAAAATATACAGAGCTAGCCACTTTTCTCTACTTTCCAAATCTGAAAATTCAGGGTCCTGCTTGCTCTGACCGCCCCTGAGTTTTGTACTGCACAGTAGTAAAGGAAAAGGTTTTTCATTAGCCTCATTTGAATATTTCTTCATATTTGGATTTAAGGCAAGCCTTTGGATTCAGAAACATACATCAGCTACATCTACCTAAGATACCTCATAAAATGCATAATTCATGTTTGCAAAGGAAAGATTTTCAAGGTGCAGAAGTTCAGAGAGGAAAAGCTGGAGTTGGTATCTAGAAAGATTCAGAAACCAATTTGCACTTTCTTTTAACCCTTGAATAAGGACCGATGTTATCATCAAAAACAAAGTCCCAGAGAACATGAACCCATGACTGATGCTGAGGTAGGGTGTCATAATATTCAGCTGCTATTTTCTTTACCTGTAAAGATCAATGGGAACAAATTAATCCATAATTTCTTACCTGCAAAATACTTAATTTGATATCAGTGTATACATATCTCTTGTTATCAAAACTTATCCAATGAATCTATAAACATGCCCATGTATTTTTCAGTGTGTGTTTAGGATATAGTTATTTACATAGTGTGCTATAACATTTAAACACATAAGAGTTCAAATTTGTGCAGCTGCTAGTTTATTGACTCTGCTGGTAAATACAAAGTCCATAGTCAAATGTAGGCAAGACAATCTTAAACTCAGCCCCTAGCTTTGTGGTGAATTGTAGTTTAAAAATATGTACTTGAATGTTCACATGACTCAAATAATAGTTGCTATATAACTTCAGTTCCTATCCAAAATATCACCTGAACTTTATCTGAAAAATAAGTTGAGATTTGAAGGGTGGGGTTTTTTTTTGTTTGAAACATTCATGTCTTGACTTTTTTGCCTTTGCAATGGAATCTGTGTACAAAAGTAATTTGCATAAGCCATGAAGTTGTTTACAGATAGGGTAAATACATCATGTTTCCATTTATTATGAAGTTACATATTAACAAGTGTGTTGTGATCAGTGCTTTTTTTGTGAAAAAAAAAGGTGTTGGAACTCACACACGTCATACAACCTGCCTTGCCTACCCTACAAGGTTCCATCCAAAAAAGGTGCCGGAACTCTGTTCTGGGCGTTCTATGACAAAAAAAGCCCTGGTTGTGATATATGATGACATGTACATAGAAACAAATTCAGAAAAGCACTCTCAGACACACTGGAAACTATCCGTTTAACCTGGTTGATGAAATTGGATACACAGATATGTAACATGATTGACCAAGGACTTTGGCAGGGAGCAGATAAAACGTTAAGACAAGGTGGAACAGGTGCATTCTAGCTAGGCATAACATCCCCTGAAATTTGTTCAAAGTGAAAGTAATTTGCATTTATAGTCTCCTATATGCTACCCATAAAAATGTTCTCTCAGATAGGCCCAACTCCTACAAAATGCTGACTTTAAGATAACATGATTAACATAGTTGTTTTATTTGTGATGGAGTTTTGTTTGTTTATAAACTGGAGACTCCAATAATAACAACAATGGTTATCATAAATAAAATCCAGCTATCATATAATACCAAACAATATCAAAAGAACTTATAAAATCTATAAAATATCCAATATAAAAACTCTTAGAAGATTAAAGCTTAAGTATAAAAAGGATTTTATTCCTAATTAGTTACTACTTCTTAAAAAAGGCCAAGGATGGAGCAGTCTGGATCTCTAGGAAGAGAGATCATCCATAAGGGGAAGATACCACCACCAAAAAAAACCCCTTGTCCTAGTTGATTCCAATACTTGCAAAAAAGTTAGATTTATTGGAGCTACTGTATAAGTTTGTAACTTATGGAAAGCTGATCCTGCAGATAAGCAGGGCGCAAACCCTGGACTTATCTACCTATCTATCCAAGAATTTATCTGTTATAATAAGCAATATAAATTTAAACCACTAATCTGCCTTGACAACCAGAGGTAACAAGAGAATGAGCATTAATAGTCAGGTCAGATCTTTTCTGGAAAAAGTGTTATTGACAGAACATTCACAGCTGGAAAAAGGCTGCTTTTGCTACCTGTTGCTACCATACTGATCTGCAAACTCAAAGCCAGCACAGTGTTAATGAAGACCTCAAGACTGCATACCTGCTCCTTCAAGGGAAAATAACTCCATAACAACCATAACTACATTATCATATGTATTAAATCATATGTATTAAATCTCCCCAGTCATCAGACCTTCTACTATGACTGAATTATATCCAAACAGAAGCCCATCAGGCAAGCCTGAACACCTGATGAACAAGAGAAAATGAAACATATCTGAGTATTATCCATATTTAGATGCATCCAGTCCCATATCCATAATGGTCATTCCCAGCAGTTTCACATAGATACTAAAGATCTTCGGAGACAGAATGGAGTCTTGCAAGGCCCATGTACAGGGAATGGAACAGTTAGGTCCCCCAATATATAACACTTCAAGCTCATCAAAGCCTCACTGGCTCAGTGATCATATTCACTTATGGATTTTCATCACTAGTCATTGATTTATTATTAAATTTATTGGCCGCCCATCTTTTCTAGTAGGGTAATTCTGGGAAACTCATTTCTTGCTTTTCCTGCTTTTCCTACAATTTCTTAGTAGACCAAGAAAAACCAAAAGCTCAACAAGCAGACAGAAGTGAATGAATGATAGTCTGGGATAGTTTCAGCCAGCCACCAAGGTTTCAACTGATAGATATAATCACAAGCTTCCTCACTAGCAAATTCTGAAATTCTATGCACTTAGAAATTGCCAAGGACATACCCTTTAAATTATCTCTTTGCTTCTGCTGGGGAGTTGTCACAAAAAACAAACTCTGACTTTGGGATGATCTGTGCATGACAAAGGAGTCTTTCCTGTCTCTTCCACCTAAATATCACCTTCCTTGGTGTAAATAACTTAGCCTAATGTCTATGGAGATTCTCAATCATCCAGGTCATGGTTGTCCAAAAGGTGCTATTCAAAAGGCATCCAATTGCCTTTTGAACAGCACCTTTGGGACAACTTAATCTAATGTGTGTGATGAGATGAGGCATAAATTTAAGCTTTAAAAACTGTTATGTACCTGAACTTCTGAACTACGACAACATGGGAACTTTCAGCATCACTTCTAAGACCAGCTCTGATATTGGATTACAAGGCATAAAATGCACAAAAAGATCCAAATCCTGACATAATTCCATAAACTCCAAGTACAGACAGAATTCTTAGTCTCAGTATTTTTTTTAAAGTATGAAAATATTGTACTATTAAAATTAGAGATTGTATTGTAATATAGTATAAATGATTTGTTATGCAATAGCCTAATACCAAGTATATTATTTCAGTATATTCAAAGAATGAAGAATCACTCAGTATAAAACAAGAAAGAGACAAATAGTAGGAAAAAGCAGGTAAAAAATGGTGAGGAAAAGGAGAAGATTGAAAGTGGGGACAAAGAGCTGAAGAATGCAAGCAGACTGGATCTACAGGGGACTAGAGGTCAGACAAATAAAAGTTAAGGAATGATAAAGATAAAACGATACAGATTTGGAGAAAAGGTGATCAAACAAGAATAAGCAAAATGATTTTTTTTTTAAATCAGAAGTCTTCAGCTTCTCTCCCCTAACCCTAGCCAGGCAATTTACCTGAATAAATTTGAATAGGAAAGTAAGAAAATTAATAGAGCAGCACAATCTCAAAGTGCTCTGATAGGCAAAATGTACACAATTGATAAAAGTTACTACCTACCTACTCAAAGTAATATTTTAGATTTATAACATTATTCAGCCCTCTCCCCTATTTTATTCATTGATGAAAGCAGTAGCATCCACAGGGGTTGATGAAACAGACAAATTGGTGGCCATTCACAACATGACTGAAGCCCCACCCCCATATAGGTCTATGTAATGTGAAGTCATGTACAAAAGGGATGGAACTTAGATTGCAATACTGTATCTGCCATGTTTTAACCATCTTCATGGACACCATTGTATGGAAGGAAAGTTAATCCTTTCCATTTTACTTAAGATGTGATAAATAAAATTAATTGTAATTTCATTGGTAAGAAAAAATAGCAAGAAGATGGTATCAACTTGGACCGTTCAGAGAAAGCAAAGGACCATTGCTGCCTCCATTTCTTCAGATCTTTTAAGGTGATACAATCATTTGTTAGCACCAGTCAAGTACCATCTAAATCAGTCTTCCCCAACTTCAGCTCCATAATTCTCCGGCCAACAGAGCCATTGCGGAGAATATTGATGTCTGAAGCTCACACATCTGAAAGTATTCAGGCCTAGGCAGAGTGATCAAAACACACATGATGCTTGCTTTGAAATTCCTTATGGAGGCAAGGTGATAGCAGATTTATTACAGTATTTATTTTTGCCAACCAGAAGGGGAGATTAAATAAGTGTGACCAATCAGACTCCTAGATGGGGCTCTTTTGGACTTACATGTTTTTTTTAAAAAAAAGAAGTATGTGCAGCTTCTAGTAAACCACACAGATGGGGAAGGGAGGACCTTAAGACATGATTTACACCAAAGAGCAATAGTACAAGTTAAAATCCATCCTTTAAATTCAGCACATGGACTTCAATCGACCCCTGTTTCTTCTGCGTCCAGTTCCATGTTTTTACACACAACAGGTTTTTGTCCTTCAATTGAAAGGTCAAGTTAATTGGTGATAAAATATAATCTAATGTTTCCAGTCAGCATACCCTACCTGGAGTGTAACCTAGTTTGTCAGGTTTTTGTACTTGTTTTTTCTGATTGTTGTAGACCAAACCCAATATCCCGAAGCACCACATAAGTTATTATTTGAGGGGCAGTGAGCCAGACAAAACAATAGCCACCCAGAAAGGAATTCCAAGGTTTTACGAATACTTAACATCTGACCTCTATTAACTCTTTTCTAATGCACTCAGGCTCTTTGTCTTCCTCCATGGAGAAGGAGCACAGACAATATATTGGCAAATTAGTTGACTCTTAAAATGGTGGGTATATTTGCATGACGCCCTGAGACATAAGCTAGCCACATAAGCAACTTTAGGTATTATGCAACAACTGCTCCATGTGGGAAGCTGATGTATCAGTCAAATTCAAAGAAGTGTATGAATATTCTATGGATAAACCATTATGTATGTTTCATGAATAGAACTACTGGGTCATTAATCACATACTATATACTGCTACTCTACCTCCCCAGAAGGAAAACAGTTTCTGGAGGGTGGGAAATATATTTCAGTTAATGCCACAGGGTGGCTAGACCTAGCTGTACTACAGGTAGAGTTGGAAAATATGATCGGACTTGTAACCCTTTAATTATCAGAGCTAAATTGAACAGAAACAGGGAAAAGATAACATGCTATGAAGAATCATAGAAACAAACCTTGCGCAAGTATGGGCTTTTCTCTGTGTACTGAAAACAGTAAGAATGTTTGTGTAGTCTGTATGTGTGTTGGGGGTGGGTGGGTGAACGGTATTTGTAACCTTGAACCAGAAAAATATTAGTCCCAAAAAGTGTTTGATGCTTGGTGCTCTACTATATAAAAAAACAAGCTATATTTTTATTAGGACAATTACATTTTAATGTTTTTTATGTTCTGGAAAAATTCAATTTGCAGGGGTTGGTATGCAATAGAGGGTAGAGGTGTGCTATTTTCCATTGGAAGGGTAAGGATAGAGAACAAGTTCAGATCCAAACACTAATGCAATTTTGTATAAAATTAAATTTATACCTTAGAACAGAAGGCAGCCCTGGCATATATCACTTGTTCAGATTTGAGAATATATCATTCACCAATAATTTCTAGTGAAAAACAATAAATGAAATCAAGAAGCTATCAGTTGAAGAGGACAAATGTAATGGAAGATGAGGAGGAAGAATAGCTGAATTATGGCAAATATCTCAAAGTATGTACATTGATACATGTTCATACCTAGCTGTCTACCATTAAATATGGTCAGAGGAAAGTGTCAAAAGCTGCCATATTGGCTTGACATTTCATTTATAAACTAGTGGAAAAACAAGAATCATTATTTACCCATACATCTGATTTCAGACTGATCATAAAATAATTTTTCATTAATACCTATAACTTTTCTTCTCATTTCAAATCATATTTTAGTTTCAGAAGCTATACCAACTGTCTTTTATTATTTCACTCTGTATGCTTTATTTCTGTTATTCTTCCTCCCTGTCACATGACATAATAGGGACTTTGAAGAAGTTTAATTAGCAAAGTACACAAACAATTTGAAACATTGAAAGGACAGAATATCAATGCTTACCATTGGCAGTCTAGATCCGGGAATGCTGGGAAAATCATGATGTTCCATATGATAGCCAACATTAAAGGTGATCCAGTTGAGGGGTCCATAGTATGAATATGTTTCATATCCTTTCAAAAACATGTAATGTTCTGCTATGAAATGTCCAGAAATAGGGTGCAAACCCATGCCCAGGATCGTTCCTGCTATTAAATAAACAATAGGCTTCCAACCCCAGAGATAATAGATTGTAAGGTCAACGGAGAATTGTACCAAAGCATTAAATATTTCCATCTCAGTAATTGCTTTGGGGTTGACATATAGTGGCCTCAAACTATAAACAAATGGCTGGATGGCAATCCAAATTAGTTTCCGAAATGGAGTAGAGAAGAACCAGCCCTCAAAATCAGTAGGGATGTCCACATCCAAAGTATCTCCGCCAAGGTATCGATGGTGATCAATGTGGTACTTCTTGAAAGAGGCAGAGTAAGGTAATCCAACAGGCAAGTTGGCAAAGACTGCAAACCACCTATTCCACCTAGCCTGCTTGTTACCAAAGGCAACATTATGAGAGATATCATGGATTGCTAGTGTTATGGAGTGGTTGATGCAGCCCCCAAAACCATAAGCCCAGAAGAAAACCCACTTCCATGCTAAATTTCTTATCAGGAAGCAGGCAAGAAGCTGAGTGAATACCATTCCTGTCACAATCCATTTCAAATGGGGATCTGAACCCATCAGAGACTTGATGGCTGGATATCTGGCTGGGGGAGGAAAGAAAGATGTCATTAAAGGCAGTCGAAAACAGTCTTCCTTTTTTCAAAGGCTCATCTAGTCCAGCAAAGTCATGTCACCATTTCTCAGACTGTTCCACATAATTACATCCATGTGACAGAAAGAAGAAGTTATATTGTAAACCAGGGGTAGGCAACCTTGGTTCTTTTATGACTCGTGGACTTCAACTCCCAGAATTCCTGAGCCAGCTGGCTCAGGAATTCTGGGAGTTGAAGTCCACTAGTCATAAAAGAGCCAAGGTTGCCTACCCCTGCTGTAAACCATCTTGTTTGAAAATTACATGCTCGTCTGATTAAAAAAAAACAGACAACAAAGTGGAAGGCCACCATTTCATTTATTGCTTAGTAACATTTTGTATATGTAATATAAAAGATATGTAATGTATATGTAATATCTTTTATTGCTTAGTAATATTTAGTTTTTCTGTTATGGAGTCCATGTCCTAGCCAAATAATAGTTGAAGCCAGTTCTTTTCAAATCCTTCCTTGGGACCTTCCAAGGATCCTGTAATCTGATTATTTCATTATTTGGTTCCATTTCCCTATTAATTACGTAAGTATTATTAACTTGTCTTAAGCTTTGTAACTTTAAATAAGCAATAGTTATTTTAAAAAATTAGTTTTAACTTGAATTAAAATGAAATTTAGTTCCCTTTTCTGCTTTAAAAAGAGGCCGTTGGCAAAATATACTTAAACAGCTGACACCAAAACTTGATGCCCAAGAGAATGTAGCACATTATAACTCCATAATCCTTGGGCAAAGACATCAAGGCCAATTCAAGGATATGCTGTGTGGCCCCTTACTGCCACTTTCCTCTGATGCAAAGAATTACATTTTAGAATCATTTGGAAGAAAGTATTTCATGAAGGTTTAATAATGAACATTTTCACTCATTTTTTTTTGTTCAATGGCAGTTCCTTTGGTTCCCCAACTGTCAATATGGGAAGAGCAGAACCAATAAAAATGGCCTCCACTGCTGGAAGAACAGTTTGCTGAATGTAAGCCCTGCCTGTCTGCAAAAATAAGAAGCTCTTAGTCTCCCAAATCCAAGATCCAAGTTACTGAAATTTGTGCCATCTTTGAGGCTCTGAAGAAGTAGCCTTCATGGACATGTGAACGTATTATCAAAATGGATAGCTTATTAGGGACTGAAATATGGTACTGTGATGAGAGACTGAAATTTTAAGCCCTGGCTCCCTTAGTGGTGTCTAAGACCAGAAGAAACACACTATTCAAGTGCTCTATGATCTTTCTACCCTCCCCATCTAGGCTGGTGATGTACAGCAGGGCTTTTAAACTGGTGGTACGCGTACCACCAGTGGTACTTTGGCATCTGACAGGTGGTACATGACCATCCTAGAGAAGTGGTAGCGGGGGAGAGGAATGAGATGAAGCGGTGGAGGGGAAGGAAGGAAGGAAGGAAGGAAGGAAGGAAGGAAGGAAGGAAGGAAGGAAGGAAGGAAGGAAGGAAGGAAGGAGCTGGGAAAGGGACTGCCTTCTGAGCACTTCTCAGGTTTATTTTTTTTTTTAGCTGCCAAAGGCTCTGGGCAGGAGGCTTCACATTTTGACCCCTCCCCCTGTCATTGCCTCTGTGTGGCTCTCAGCTCGCCTTTCCCAGACCTGTGCATGCGTTTGTTTGTTTGTGTGGGTGTGTGCGCACACGCATGCACATGGGAAGTTCTCACTCTTTGCAGCCCCATACTGTGACATTGGGTAGGAAAAGAACAGGAGAGATAAGAGATAAGAGAAGCTGCAATGGGAGCTTCTTGCAGCCTTCCACTAGGCTGGGGGCAGGAGTTGAGGGGGGCAGGGCGTGATGTGACACACACAAACACATGCGCAGGTCTGGGAGAGGTGAGCTGAGAGCCACGCAGAGGCAACGACAGGGGGAGGGGTCAAAATGTGAAGTCTCTGCCCACCGCTGCCTGCCTCAACTTTTTACTTTTCCATAATAGTATAAACTAGCCATTTCTATAACAACAAATGAATTGAACCAGTAAAACCCAAAATCCCACCCCTTTATTTTCAGTCATCAAGTTTTTGACACCTTGCTAAGCACTGGTGGTACTTGAATATTGTCATGTCCTAAAAGTGGTACAATCTGTGAGAAGGTTGAAAAGCCCTGATGTACAGAATAGCTCTGTTACTTTGGCTTTATAATAGCAATAGCAATAGCACTTAGATATATATACCGCTTCACAGTGCTTTACAGTCCTCTCTAAAAAGTTTTACAGAGTCAGCATTGTTGTGCAGGCTCTGAGGTGTTGCTTGATAAAAAAAAAGTACAGGAAACCAGAAGTTGCCTTTAAGCTTTACGTTTTTATTCAGCTGAACAAAGACAGGCTCCTCTAAAAGAGAGAAGCCCCGAATGACAAGAAATCCTTGTATTTATTCTTTCTGATTTGATACTGTGGACCACGGTATCATGCTGCGGCGTTTGGTGGAGTTGGGAGTGGGGGGCACCGTGATGCGGTGGTTCTCCTCCTTCCTCACCGACCGCACGCAGTCTGTATTGGCAGGGGGGCAGAGGTCGGCCCCAAGGCCCCTAACTTGTGGGGTGCCACAAGGGTCGGTCCTCTCCCCCTTACTGTTCAATATT